CCCGGCGGCCAAAGCCGCCACACAGGCAGCTCCCAGACCAGTGGCACGCAGAGGCACAAGCTGCCCCACCCCCTCCCTGGGCAGCACTTGCTCCAGCCCAGGTCTCAGCCCCAGCCCCAATCTTTCCCTCACTGTGGGGGTGTTGATCTTCGTACACACACACACACACACACACCCCCTCCTTCCCTCCCCACTCCACCCACAACCGACTTACCAGCTGGAGGCAGCTGTGTCCTGTCCAGTGTGGTTGAGGACTGCTGTCTGTTTAGTCTATGGCTGAATCGGCACTGAATCTTTTCCAAAGCGATTTGGACCTTTTAATGGGTCTCCTGATTCAATTAGGATTTGGAGATTCAGCCACCGAATCAGGCCGAATCTCCTCCAAATCGAATCAATTACCGAAGCTTTGCACAGCCCTATTGTCCACTCTGCACTCATCACTCTTGCTGCACACAGCACAATTGATCAGTCAGCACTTTATCTCTGGCAGTTTTCCTGCCAAGAATTATATGCACTGCGCCAGACCTGGACACAGGCATGGGTGAACCAGGTGGCCGCCCAGAGCCCAAAAATGAAAAAAAGAAAATACAATTGCAAAAAAAAGTTTTAATAGTGTACATATATGGTACTGGCAAGGTTACCAATTGAAAAAAAACTATTTAAAGACATCAATATCACAGATGTGATAAAGACTTTTGCAACAAAAAAAAATCATTATTTCTGGTGATGTGGGGCCCCCAATATTAAAAGTTCATCCAGGGCTGCCAGGCTTCTAAGTATGGCACAGCCCTGCACTGCACATGTCCCATAGGCATAAATAGGTGAATGACATCATAAAGGTGGAAAGTTCAGACATTCTCGAGCCCTCATAACTCTAGTCAAAGCGCACATGCTCTGCGGGGAGTTAATGCTAGGAACCCATCAAACACCAGGTCAATCTGTTTTAGGCTGATCGTTAAGCTATCATTACATTCATGCAGACATGCCTCTGACTCTTCCTAAGCTCCTTAAAGCTAAAAGTATAAGGCAGTACATAGTAGAAAAGACTGTCATAAAGTAAGACGACAAAATAAATCATAAAATTTACACTGGAATTCATGAGTTATGTAAAACCTTCCCTAAGTCCCAGGAAGGGGGTAGGAGGAGGTAGAGGGGGAAAAAAATAAAATCACTCTGTAGTGACATGGAAGTAAGCTGTGTATAGTCATCTCAGTCTCTGACTGTGCTCACATGACATAGGTTAAGGCTCACTGTATCTTGATAGGCCATCTCCCAGGGAAGTCTTGAGCTAAAGCAAACTACAAATGGCAAATTGGAAGACTGCATTCTGGTTAACTATTCAATCAACACAGCAGAAACAACTTGGAATCACTGTGATGTGTAAGAGGCTCTGGCCACTTGCCGTCAGTGAATTCTATGCATCATATTTGTCAATGTAATCCTGACCAAATTACAATTTGACAATTTCAAGTGTGCTTGCAACAGGAAGTTTGCTTTTCACTGCCTGCCTCAAATAGTTCCACTTATGTGGAAGCCATATTTTAATGTAGTGGAACTTTTCTATATAGGTTATGCACCATCTTTGATCCCATTGATTATGGGGCACCAATGTACAAGCAGAAAGGTAGATTACCACACTAGTGCTTTACTGGGCCTAAGTTTTAAACCTTAGTATGTTATCAATTCCAACAGATATTAGCACTCACGACAAACAGGTAGATTCTGTCTCAACAGATAAGTTATCAGTGCTGTTAGCCATTTCACTTGCATTCAGGAAAGTAAATGCCCCCCATGATTCACACAAGCATGAAAGAAAATGTTTTACTACACAAATTCAGATTCATTAGGTTTTATTATGAAAATTTGGATAAAAAGTTAAAAAGGCTGTCGTGAACATTTAGAATAGGATGCTGAAACAGACATTTTACATATAAAAAGCAGTGGTGAAGTATTAACAGCATCCAAATAAAATTTCTGTTTTAAAATAGGTATACAGTACCAAGAACAGTCCTTTTGTCTGGGAATCAGCTGTACATAGTGTTCACCCTACAGAAAATGCACCATCTTTCCAAAAAGAAGAAGAAACATTATTAACAAGCAATGAACTGAGTTACTGTTTATGCATTCTCAGTTTACCAGGAAGCAATTCACAACATCAAAATTACAGGAAATTAGTGCCAATTATTTTGCTCATGCAATCATAAAGAACAGAAAAAAAACCACTTGTATTTACACTGATTAGCAAACCGTGTGTATATTGCCATCATTTAAAGTGCAAGCTACATGTCAGCTGAATTCTTAGAAGGCATAACAGGTATAACATTGAACTGAAATACTGCCATGTGTGGTTGGTTATACAACTAACCAAGGATGCTGACAATATATTTTTAGCCTCAGACCGATTTTAGTTGAACACTTCCCATAATTCGCTACCAGCCAAACATGTATTCCATAGCTTTAGACACAATACTTTCATCTTTCCTAGGAGTCTGTCTGTCAGAAACCACCTAGAGAGAGAGAAATAGATATCTGGTTAGCCAACATGCATTTGTTCATTTGCACAGCCCAGTTGTTACTATGACTAACCTCAACAGATGCTAACTCTTTGGAAAGGTCACAAAAGAAGTGATTTAGAAGACATTTTGATAGATTTACATTTTATGCAAAAAAGCTTATATCCAAACTCCTTCTCTCTCTCACTTAGCAAAGAAAACTACAGGTGAGAAAGTAAAACAGAAGTCTACTTCATTTTTGATCTGAGGTCTGCCATTAGTTAGCTAAAAGGAATATAGACTTTTTTTATGGAAAAGTTACTTAAACATTTTCTGCTCTCTGCCGCTCTCAAAATACCTGATAGTCGCTAGTAGAAGTTTTATATGCTGTTGCAAGAGGTCTCATTGTAGAAATTCTTGTAGTACTTGCAGGCTGCACCGGTGTGCCCATGGTTTTTGTTGGTGGCGTGAAGACTGAAGACATGGAGGATATGGAACTTCTATCAAAACTTTCCATCACACTCTTGAATGAAGGGAAAAATTGAAAAGTTTAGTATAATGGAAGCAACAATGTTAAAAAAAATATATATCCTTTTTTCCCCTTTAAATGCACAAGGCGGATAGCATCTGGCAAGAAGTGTGTGCCAGGTACCTTTCATATTAAAAAAATGAAATATAACAAGCCACTGTCTATTACTTCTCTAGAAACACTAATATTCTGAAACTGAAGAAATGGACTGTCCTATCCAATCTGTGGAAAATGTCATTCTACCTAGCTCCTGCAGTTTAAGGTAATTATGTTTTCATTTTGTATTCTGAAGCCTGATGTATCATTATACAGTAAAAGCTCCGTTAACCAGCACCTTACAAGCCAGCATGCTCTATTAACCGGCATGCCAGCTTGTAAGGTAAAGTGAAACCGGAAGTGCCCACTGTGGCACTTCCAGTTTCTCCAAGCACCTATGGCCCAAGGCAAAGCAGCCTGTACTGCTGAGCCCCCACGGCCCAGAGGCACAACAGGTTGCATGGGGCCCACCTCCCTGTCCCACGGGGCCTGCAGGAGGAGTGGTGGCAATGCCACAGGAGAGACAGAAGCAGCAGGGTCCAAACAGGCAAGAACGCCTGTTTGGGCCGCTCAATTAACCGGCATATTTTGTTATCCGGCACCCCCCATTCCCGGGGATGCCGGATAACAGAGCTTTTACTGTAGCACATTATAATGTAACAAGCTTTACTTATGTACATACCAGACACGCACATAATTCACTTGACCACATAAGAAAAGACCATTCACAGTCAGTTGCCTATTGTTTATACCAGAGGCTGTCAACTCTGTTGACATACGCATACCCCTGGGGGTACTTGGGAAGACCCCAGGGGGTACATGGCAGTGGCACGGAGAAGCAGGGAGCAGGTCCACCAGCACTTTGTGCCACTTGCTTTTGTTTTCACCGGGGCTGCATGCCGCTTCTGGTTTTGCTGCCACGCGTCACCAACACTTTCAGTTTTGCTGATGCATGCCACGTAAGTGTGTGTAATTACAGCGCATCAGAGCAGACTCAATTAATCAAGTCTGCTGGAGTGTGATACTTTCCGTGCTCTGGCAGACTCCAGCATCATGCGTATCAGCACCTCCAAGCTGAAAAATGGCAGCAGGAGCACTTTAACTAAAGCTTAAGCTTTAGTTAAAGAGCCCCCCCACCACCATTTTTCAGCATGACAACACTGATAAACATGACGCTACAGGCGCTTTAATTAGATTAAAGCCCCCCCACACACACTCCTGGAGCATGTGTATAAATGTCCATTGTTTACACCGTGTCTAGATAATGCATTCCCCAAATAAGCGCATAGACTTTTCTCAGTTCCAGGACTATACATTCAAATGGAGTACACTTTATTTCCCCATCTTCCATAGCAGTATAAGTGCATCTTGTCATATCTTACAGGAACATGAAGAATGTTGTTCTATAATTTTTACAGCACAACTACAAGAATATTCATGTATGCCCCCCTTAGGTTTTTTTTTAAATCCATCTGAAACGGTAAAAGGCAAGGAGCCCAAAATCAAGATGCCATACAATTTTATTTGTTTCTATATAGACTGCCAACTTACCTTATCTATACAAGGCTTGACTCCAATCATGATAGATTCCCCAAAAATTCTACCATCTTTGCTTAAAGCTTTCCGGGCTTGCAGTTTGGACTGATATCGAATGTGCATCCAATTTCCTGTGTTGGACATCTGTACAGGATTTTCATTGGAAATAGTGAAAATTAGCCTTTTTCCAAACAAACTGTAGTGTGTTTCATTAATGAGACTTAACATGAGCCTTACCACATGCTTTAATATGTTTCCATACTGTGCAAACTGTAGCAGAATATATGAAGCAGATGCTTGAGGAAATCTGAAAAAACAAAAAACAAAATTCTGTCCAGTAAGATAAACTGTAGCAGAAAATATTAATTATATTTTAGAGAACAAACCTGGATCCTTGGCAAGACTCCCAGAAGTACAAGATCGCACATGTTTTCAGTACTATTTTAAAAACAGTGGTTAGGCTAACAGTACATTTTAGACCTGCCTCCTGAACCCCATCATCTAAAATGCACTATCTACACTCTAACTAGAAGATGAGGCATAGCTGCCTTAACGAAGCTAGTTCACTAATTAGCAGATGAGTTCATCTGTTACCTGCTGGCTTCAAGCCATTGTTCTATGGTTCCTAGTGAACTCAGTGTCGTACTGCTGCTTCTTCCATATATACCAGGACTTCAACCTTTAGTTTGTTCAGGAAGCACTGCAGATCACTTACCCAAATACAGTTACCCAAGTGTCATCAAGCTGATCATCTGATGTTAGGGAATCCCCTTGAGTATAGAAAGGATCCAGCTGAGCAGGAGAGAGTGTGGTCTTTCTGGGCTGTCCGATGCTTGCAGGACTAAATACACCTGAGGCTGAAAAATTGTAATAATATTGATGAATTGTTATTGTATCTAAACAAGTCAGAACCATGTAGGAACTATAAGAAAATTCAGTATATGGTTTTCTGTATGAACACAACAAAAGAGGTAGTTACTTCAGATTAACTAAATTTGTAAGGATCATGTTTCTAAGCTTTGTGGCTAGCTATTTCCCAGGTTTCACTAGCTTTTCCTGCATCTGTTGTACATAAGGCAGGTAGGGATAACAAGAAAACAAGCAAGAGAGTTTGCAAGACGCAACTAGGCTCATTCAGAGAGAAGCAAGTGACAAAGCCTTTCAAAAGACATGACACCTTTCAAAAGCAATATAGTAAATATAACTATTTATTTTGCCAAGATACTTACCTGTTCCAGGTGTTGCTGGCATAGCTCCAACCAGTGGACTCTGTGTTGAAGAAAAGCTGGGCTACATTAAAATAGAGCAAATAAATCATTAATTGCAGGACAATTTTCAATGTCAGAAAATTATCACTTCTCATGTTATTTAATTAAAGGTTACTTCTTGCTTTAATATTAAACCAAATATCCTTGTAGTGGTAGTTGGTATAAGTGTATAAACCTAACAAATAGAACCTAAATGTCAGTAAAAGTCACTAAGTCTTTTGCTTCTGTTCTGCATTTTTATGCAAATTAGTACGTATCTTGCATCTCCAAAGGACCTCAATGATTAAATGTAGAAAATCTTACAATTCGCTCTTCATCCCCATAGAATAGAATGCATATTAAGTCCTCATTTACCATAAACCTTTTTACTAAAAGTTTATAAACTGAAGTTTCTGCTGTATGTACAATAGATTACAAAAAAGATATGTCCAGGAAATTTGTTTAACATATAATGCCATGTAGACATTACCAGCAACAGCACTTATCATACAATATTTAAACCTATTTTAGGCCACAAGTAATCCTGAATGAGAGTTCCTAAACTAGAATACAAACCACCATGTTCCCTACTAACAATCTGCGCTAGGCAAAGTTAAGCAGTTTGAAGATCTTCCATTACTTTCAAAAGTTAAACAATTAAATTGCAATAGCAACTGTTCATAAATATTTGTAATATATCAAATGAGAGATCTTAGTGGCAATTAATAAGTTCTTCCTCCTTCCTTTTACTTAGTTTTAACAATTGACATATACAAAACATTCAGCTGTATTAGCTACCATTGAACTGCTTTTATACTTTTCTGTTCTCAGACAGAAGGCAAAAATATTTTTCAGTTTAATTGCTAAGTATACAAGTAGTTTCCCTCCACCCCCTGCAACACACGCAAGGGATGATGGTTTTCTAAACCAGGGGTGCTCAATCTCCAGCCCAGAAATTTGGCACCACGAAAGTGGTAGCACCGTTCTCCTACCGCTGTATCTCCAGAGCCACGGGGAGCCCTGTGCCCTGGATCTGATGCTGGATCCTGGCACGGGGGAGTGTGGCAGGGGGTGGCGTCAGGCCCCAGAGTCCAACCTGGCCTGCAGACAGGCTCCAGGCCACTCACTTGGTCCATGCAACCAAAAGGCCAAGCAGCACTGTATTAAACAAATGGTTACAACCCACCTTTTAAGCATAACTCTAAGAATTTCTCACAGATCAAAGGACTAAGAAAATTGGAATACTTTTAAAGTGTAGTAGGAGTTATCAATTAATAATACAACTAGCATGCATTTTGCAAAATCTGAAGCCCTGAAGGATACATTAATAGCTTCCTTCTTCATAAAATGGTTTGAACTTTCAGATTGTAATTCTTACAACAGAGATCGTGTTTATTGGTTCCATAAAATATCAAGTACAAAACTGAAGTGATCCTGCTCTCTTCAGCAGCACCACAATATAACCTTTCTAGTTAATATGTTTTGTCTCTTGATAAAAAGCCAGCTCTTTAATGTAATTAAAGTGTAGAACTCATTGCCACAAGATGTTGTGGAAGCTGACCGTTCAGCCAGATTGAAAAAGGAATTGAATAAATTCTTGAAGAAAAGGGCCATCAGTAGCTACTGAGCATAGGAGTCAGGAGTACAACTTTTGAATCAGAACTTGCTAGACCTTAAATTCTGCAGACTGCAGTGGAGAGGAACAATGGAAAAAACCCTGGCATTCTGTTCACACTCCCTTTCAGCATCTAGTCTCTGCCACTGTGATACAGGATACTAGGCAAGATGGTCCTATGGTCTGATCCAGTAAATGGTAGTTCTTACATTCTCTAAATTGGCCTCATCTAAAGAGCTGAATGACAGGTTCCAAAAAAAGTTTCAAAAGAAATTCTGTTTCACATTTCATTATTCATGAGTCTAATGAATGAAATACTAACTCTAGAAGTTATAAAAAGTCCTTTTTCAGATATGTGGGGAGTCAGAAGAAAAGCAAGGGTAACAATGGACCCCTGCTAAACCAAATGGGACAACTGACAACCGACAGCCAGGAAAAAGCCAACCTGCTTAATGGGTACTTTGCATTGGTTTTCACCAGCCCAAAGGGACTGCTCTGCTTAACATGATGTGGGAAGGCCAGGGTGAGGGTGAATTTATACCCAGCATCGGTGTAGACCCTGTAAAGGAACACCTTGAGAGGCTGGACACCTTCAAGTCACCTGGTCCTGACAGCTTGCACCCCAGAGTACTTAAGGAGCTGGCAGGCATCATAGTCTTTAAAGTCTTTATTAACCATGTGGACACTGGTGTCAGAAGTGAACTGGCCAAGTTCGCCGATGACACCAAACTTTGGGGTAGAGCGTCCACACCTGAGAACAGGCTGGTGATCCAGGCTGACCTTGGTAGACTTAGGAAGTGGGCAGATAAAAACCTGATGACATTCAATATGGAAGGTACTCCACCTCGGGGGGGGGGGGAAAAACCTGCATCACACTTATAGGCTTGGCAGTGCTACGCTTGCTAGCGCCATGGCCGAAAGGGACTTGGGGGTCATGACTGACCACAAGATGAACACCAGCTACCAATGCAATGTCATAACTGGTACGGCAAACAAAACTCTGGCTTGCATCTCAAACATGCTTCTCAAACAAATCTCAGGATGTCATCCTACTGCTGTACTTGACCTTTGTGAGACCACAGCTGGAGTACTGCATTCAATTTTGGGGTCCACAATTCAAGAAGAATGTGGAGAAGCTTGAGAGAATCCAGAGGAGCACCATGCACATGATAAGAGGGCATGAGAACAGATCTTATGAAGAGAGGCAGAGAGCCATGGGACTCTTCAGCCTGGAAAAGCGCAGGGGGGACCTGGTGGCTACCTGTAAGTATATAAGGGGTGTACATCAGGATCTGGGGGAACGCCTGTTCACCAGAGTGCCCCAAGGGATAACAAGGTCCAGCGGTCATAAACCCCACCAAGACCGTTTTAGGCTGGACATAAGAAAAAACTTATTTACTGTCCAAGCCCCCAGGGCCTTGAATAGACACCCTCCAGAGGTGGTGCAAGCACCTACTCTGGACAGTTTTAAGAAATGTTTGGACACTTATCTTGCTGGGATCCTTTGACCCTAGCTGACTTCCTGCCCCAGGGGCAGGGGGCTGGACTCAATGATCTTCCAAGGTCCCTTCTAGCCGTAATGTCTATGAAATCTATGAAGTCAGGTGCTATTATTAGTGTGCTACAACCAACACCCCCAAAATTATTAAAGTGTTTGTTTCACACTTATCAATTTTTAAGACTATACAAAGCTAAAGAGAAAACTGAGTTAAGCTCAGAACTGCCCCAAGTCCCAACTCTGCCCCAAGTCCCCAGCGACCAGGGTGAGAGGCATTTAATAACAAAATAAAATTTAAATAACCTTTCACAAACCAGTTATCTGCACTCAATCTGGGAAGTGAAGACATTCACTACTAAATTAAACTCTAGTTTCAGTTAAACTTTGCAGCTAGCCTACAGATTTACCACTTACTGGTCTTCTTGAGGTTAAAGGTGTTGATCCAAGCCCAGGACTAGATATTTCATCATATATACTTCTAACAGGTGGAGCACCACTTTTATCTTTGTGTGTAGGAACTACTGGCTGTGGAGGAGATCCAGCTACAGTAAAAAGGAATAAGGAGAAAACCTGTTAAATTTCTTCTACTCCATTGGTCTAATTTTAATGCTATAAAATTCCAGTTAGGTATCTCTTCCATTTTAAAATTCTTAATCTGACCTATTTGACCAGCAAGATTATTATATTATTAAACCTTTTTGCAAGAACAGTTTACATTATGAACAGACTGCTCAAGAATCTTTTCTGCCAGTTTTCAGCATACTTGTTTAAAAACTTAGATGACATTCACTGGGTGATATTCAACTCTGTCTTCATATTTTGCCATGTTAGACACTATTTCAACACAAAGATATCAGAATACAATCTAATAATTAGACAGGACTTGTTTGCTTATGAAGTGGCAGGTAGCTCTGCTTTTGGCACTTAAGTGGCACTGCTTTTGGCATTTACATTTATACAAAACAAAACACTAAAAGATATTGCATAGCAATAACTAAGGGAATAAATCTAGATTAGGGGTGCACCAGTATAGATTTTCTTGGCCGATACCAATAGTCTATTATTCACCATACATATAGGCCAACACTGATCCAATAAATGATTTACAGGAATGCAGCCAGGCAGTGTGGAGAGCAGCACCCTGAAAGTAAGTCCCTGAAGGAGAAAGGGTCTGGGGAAGGGCAGGGGTGTAAAGGGGGTAGATCAAGGAACCCACAGTAAGGGAGGGAGTGGGGCAGGGTCTGGAGGTGCTGCCCAAGGCAGTGACTGGGACCCCAGGGCCAAGGCGCAAAGTGGGACAGAGCTGCGGATGACTCATCCAGGGGATCAGCATCCTGGCACTTAAAAATGGCAGTGGGGGCACTTGAACTGAAGCTCTTCAAATGAGCTTTAGTTCAACCACCACTGACACCATTTTTAAGCGGAGGGATATTTTTAACCAGAGCCAAGAGCAGATGCGGGCTGCTCGCTGTGGGCTTGGGGCTCTTCACCCTCTTGCCTTTGCCCCAAGAGCCGCACACCAGCCACGCATCCCCTGCCTTCCCAGCAGTGGGAAGCACAACCGTGCCTACAGGATGAGCCACCCATGGCTCTGTTCCGCTCCCTACCCCAGCCCAGGGTCCCATTCACTGCCGTGACTAGGCAGCACCCCCAGCCCCTGCCCCACTCCCACCAAGTCCCCCATGGTGAGGGAAGATCTGCCCTCCCACCTCACCCCCAACCCTCCACACCCTTTCCCCTCCAGATTTACCTGCTGGGTGCAGCTCTCCATACTGCCCATATGGACATTGCAATCCTGGCCACATGTAGGCTACGGCTGCATGCACGCACACAGCGTTCAGGGCTCCAGCCAGAAGGCACATTATATTTATCAGTGCATTATTGGCTATACCGGCCAAAAAAGACGATGTTAATTTTCCTTTTATTGGTGCCGATCATATATGGCATCAATATATATCAGTACACCTCAAAACTAGATTAAAGATTTTTCTCTTCTAGTTTCACCTCAGAGTAGATATAGCAAAATTTTATTTTTATTACAAACCCCTTGCTGAAAATAAAATTACTTTATGTGGTGGACCCTGCCAAAGTATGCTCTCCATAATTTGCCAGAAAAAGGAATATTTAAGCTTGCAGTAGCTAATACCCATACCTTTGTTTGCTATTGGTCCTACCTTCGTGCCTACAGATCACACGAGAGGCTACATTCTTAGTATTTCTAGACATAGTATGACCATTTGGAAGTTATTTGCACCAACTACCTCTGTTTTTTCATTACAAGACAATTATATAGGTTCATTACTATGCTGAATAAAAGACAAGACTACATTCTAAGATCAGTTTACAGCAACTGTATTGATTTTTTGCCATGTCATAGCTTAAAGGGGTTTCTAACTATATTTGAATTATACAAGCTTATATAGAAAAACTATGAAAACAATTTTGTTTTCTAGAATTTCAGACAATTCCCATCAAAACAGGAAGATGTATAACAATCTACACATTTAAAAAAATAGAAAGCAATTTAATTGCAGCAGGCATGCAAAAATAGGCTTCTTCAGGGCTTAAGGCATGCGATATAGCTCAGAAACTTTGGAGTATGCATACAGTAGCATTATTTTGACCTCAGAAGACCTGTACACAGTTATTGTTTAAATTCCCTTACTCCCTCTAATGTTCACCTGTTCTCTATTAGGTGTAAACTTTAATCTTCAGGACAACTACGGACTTCATGTGTGTTCATGGTGTTTCGGAACCAACTTAAGCAGAACCACAAATATGACTGGAGCCTCCAACAGCCACCATAACAAAAATAGAATAATACAAGGAATTAACTTATTTAAAAGTATATGGATACACCCAGAATATCTCTTATGCTCTGCTGAGCAGACAATTCATGTGGAACTTGGTAGATCATGTCTACATTAAGCTTATGGGTTGCACAGATGTGGTGAAAAAAAAACAGCGCCAAGTAAGCTCAGCATGTCCCCACGCCAAGCATAGCACATGCCCAGAAGAGGAATTGCATTAGTTTGACCTGGTTTACCAAGTGTCTACATAGCTCACACGCTTCAGCAGGGCTTTTTGTTACTTTTTATCTAATAGTTGAAAGTGCCAAAAGTCCCACTGAAGTGCGCAAGCTATACAAGACTCTGGGGAGCCAGGTCAATTTGATGCGATTCCTCTTCCAGTAAAGGGTTGGTCCCCCCCCGTCCCCCCCCCCATGTCTGCCAGCACCCTTAAATACTATCAATCTTTATTTCTGGACTTAAAAACTCCCTTTTATACAAGGCAATTACCAGTCAAGGGTAAAACTTGCAATAAACTTCACCGTTCAGTAGCCTGAAGTGTCCCCAAAATGTCATGAACTGCTATATGGAGCATTCACTTATATCTCTAAGTAAGGCAAACCAGTTTAAGTTACATGCTCAATTATCATTTATTGGTGTCACTGGTCTTATTGGTGTCCCATGTGTGCACCTTAGCTTCTTTATTGAGACAAATCTTCATTTTAAAGAGGACTGAGTTAAATTCATACTGCTATTTTAAAATGGCATTAGTTATTTTTTATGACACTATATTTCAATAAAACCTGGAGATTTAAATCTTTAGGGGGCAGCATCTCTCAAGCTGCTGAAATATCCATTTATTAAATACTAAAAAAAGCCAACGTATCAGTTTTCAAATGTTAAAAGTAATGTTCCTAGAGATGCCAAAATACCATGTTTCAGTCCAAAAGAGATTCTAAAAAAATTATAGTCAGAATAGAAAGCGATAGAAATGCTGAAGTGCTGGACATGGATAGGAATGCTGACGGTGGGAAAAAGAATGAATGTGCAAGAATAAAATTCTGACACTTTTAACCCATCTTTCAAATGGAGTCACTTGCCAAAAATCACTAATACGCCATTCACACTACACACACAGTTAGAAAATATGGGCTATTTCTTTACCAGGACATTGCATAATTTAGAGATGTGCCTCAGAAAGGGAGACCGCCATTTAGTATCCCTTGTTAGCAGAGGGATACAGCCACCTAGCCATCCAAGCTCCCCAGATGGAGAAATGATTTAAACATCTTCCTCAATAACCAAGAGGGGAAAACAGAAGAGGAACATTAATCCACACCTATGTGAGAGAACATTTCTACATCTACACTCAAATATAATAATCATGATTACGGCTGTCAGGTATCACTAGTAACCGATAGTGGTATCTGACATTAAAAACAGCCACCTCATTAAAGCAATACCTGACATTCAAAAGAATCAGCTGGTTAAAGGCAATGAAAAAATTGGGAATAGAATTTGTAATTCCTCCTTGCTCCCACCAGATTTAAATAAGGTCTCTCCCTTCAGCCTCTCTGAAGAACACAGTAATCAATAGTCTCCATAAACTTAATTTATGTCAGCAAAATAGACCATTGCTTTGATCAAACTCCAAAAGGCAGAGGAGCTAGTTTCATTAGCAACTGATGCAAGTGAGAGCAAACTACCTTTAGCAGAAATAGAATCTATATTAGCATTAACAAATTACACCTCCTGAGCATCAAGTTCACATATTTAAGTAGCCATGAAACTTGCTCAAATCTATTTTATTCGCACTATTTTGAATAACCAATTTGACATATGTTTGAGTCCACTTTCAACACCTATAACTTGGAAAGGCATGGAACTTGACATTTGGAAAAAGTTATTAGGAAATCAAGTTAAAAAAGGTTACCTGTGACTATTTTTCAGAAATACAACCTCCAAATTAGGACTTCCTAAATCTCTAACAGATAGAAGCTATAAGGGAAAAAGGGTAGGGAACAGATCAGTCTTGATAGGTCCCTACATAAATACTCTCTTCTTTAAGCATCTGCTCTCTGACGGTATGAAATACAGTAGGCTGGATGGACCTGTGGTGATCCAGTATGGCATATTGTATGTCTTAAATACAGCCACTTATAAGTGTTGTATAGCAGAATTTGCTCACCTGCAAGTAAAGGAGACCTCATTTCCATCACACCAACAGAAGGGCCACTTAAAGAACGAGGCTGTGGAGTCATTGGAGCTGGTAAGTCACCCATTAAAAATCCAGGTAGGAACTGAGCACCAGCTCCTGGCTTTGGTGACGTTGGGGAACCTAGAGTCATTGGCTCAGCTCCTGTGATAATAAAACAACGTTTAAGGTATTAGAAATAATAAAATAATGATTGTCATATTGAATGAAATAGTTTGAATGTTTGTAAAGGTTGCCCATTAGCCAGTTTCAGGAAGAAGATAGGATTTATCTCCTTATCTAGCTCATTGTTTTGGAACTACGTGTAAAATGTCTTGACTTCGCTTAATTTAAATTTTATCTTTAGAAGTCTTTTACAAAGAGAGCAAATATCCTGAATTCCGAGAGATCAAAGCCTAGGGCCTTTTAACCAAATTGGTAAGAAAAGGGCATTTGCAGTGATATGGAAGTCTCCCCAAGAGTAATTTAAAATGCTCAACAAAGGTAATTTCAAAAGAATCTGTTGAGTAAGATCCGAGCCCAAATTTGGGAGTAATGACAAGTTGAGTAGGAGGAGCCCACTGACGGCAACTCACTCAATAAAAACTGTAATTCACTGTCCCAATTTGGAGGTGACTTCACTTGCAGAACAACGAAGGAAGAATCGCAAGTGTAGCCCGGATCAGACTGATCACCTGACCCAACCTCTCCGTGAACACGAATCTCTTAGTTCACGCTGAAGCCGCAGAGCACCTGAAAGGGACTGAAGGAAGGGGACTTAGTCCTATCACTGCTGAGGCTAGCCTATTGAATTGTATTGTTGAGGCGAGCCCATTGAACCGTACTACTGTGGCCAACCCATTAAATTGTACTACTGAGGAATGAAACCATATTTTGGAATTTGGCTTCTTGGAATTCTAGGATTGTAAGTATATTATGAAAATAATAGTATTGATTCAAATTTAACTTTTAGTTGTAATTGTAGTTGTTTTTGTAACACTAATTCTTATAGCATTGTTTGGGAAGGAAGTGCATTCGGAGCATTGTTTTTGATATATCTAATTATTGTGTTCTTAATGTTTGTGCTATTTCTTAAAGCTAAGCAGTGTTATATACGTAGTAAAGAGTTTTGAAATAAAATTGTGTTGTATAAATTAAGTGTGTAATCATTGTGAAATCGTGCAATCAGCTAACTACTCCCCCAGCCAGTGCATCAAAACGAATCAGTAAATTGTGTGGGATTTTCTCTATTCCATAACCCACTGGAGACAATAATGTCTAAAAAATATTTTTAATTTAAAAAGCTGCTTGGTTAAGCTAGGGAATTAAACCTTTACTTTCATAAATAGAAAGCAAGATACTACAATCCTATATTTGGTGTTTTTTTTGACCAAAACACACACTACCTGTTTCCTATTTCTTTAACGGCTATCAGATTAAGGGTCTGGACACACGTAACCCTGATCCATTTAAATTCAGTTTAAACCTAAAGCAGACAGACATACAAGCCTGTTGCACCAATTTAGAGCTCCCTGAAATGGGCCAATGTTATACAGACATTAAGGGTTCCATGACACAGGTCTGGTCATTCCTCCTGGTACCCCACATTGCTATACCTGGCCCCTTTGGAATGTAGCCAGGACTCTACTGGTTCTCTGCCAGTATGATAATGAAAGTATCATTATGACCCTTTATAAATTTATGGCGTGTGTACACCTTGAATACTGTACCCAATTCTGGTCCCCACACCTCAAAAAGGTGATAAAAGAATTAAAGACGTTCCAGAGAAGGACAACAAGTATGATTAGTGGTATGGAGGGGCTTCCATGTGAGACTGGAGAAGGGGTTTCCAGCCCCCAGCACGTGTGCCACAGCATAGTGTAGAGAGGCATTTTGCTTGGCACATGCACCTCACGGAGGACAGCAGGGAAGGGGCTACAGGGCCACAATAAGAATGGGGCTCCTTGCAGCTCTCCCACCATCTGCCCGGAGGTGTGCTTGCACCTACTGGCAGCAACAAGCCGAGCCAGGGCTCCAAAAAACACCAGTGTAGTTGCTTGTATCCTCCCTGCCACAAGCAGCCTGGGATCCACGACAGGCAGCAAAGACCTACCCAGAGACCAGGCTGGCTGTGGCAGGAAAGTCTCAGACCAGCTTGTTGCTGACAGTGGGTGCACACGCACCTGGGGCAGACGGTGAGCTGAGGGGCCCTATCCTTGTTGCACCTTGTGCCGGAAGTGCCAGACAGAAAGGCTGGGTGGGGTCTCCATGGATACAAGTCCAGGAGCCGCGAGGGGCCTGAACCTTGTTGTGGCAGCACAGCCCTAGCCCCTTTCTTGCTGCCCACCCTGAGGTACATGTGCATCCACCGCTGGCAATGAGCCTGGTCAGAGCTGCATGGACCCTGGTGCAGCTACTTACAGGCTCCTACCTGACTGCCACAGCTGGCCTTGGGCTCTAAGTAGGCCCTTGCTGCCCACCACGGAGCCGGGACTGCTTACGGCAGGCCGTGGGGAGGCTGCAAGCAGCTGCACTGGGGTCTGCTGAGCTGGGCCCGGCTCATTGCCAGGCAGGTGACACACGCATCAGGGCTGACAGCAGGAAAGAGGCCACGGCTGCGCTGCCACAATAAGGTCCAGGTCCCTCACAGTTCCCAGGCTTGTCTCCAGGTAAACCCCACCCACCTTTTCTGTCTGGCACCCCCAGCAGTGGGTGCAGGGCAGAGCGAATGGATCCCCCTCTTCCCCCTCCAACAGCTCAACAAAACTACTTAAGTGGACCTCACGTTCAAATAACTGCCTACCCCTGAGCTAACCCTAATCAACTTAGAAAAGAGAAGCTTGAGGGGAAACATGATAAGGGTTTACAAATGACTAAATGACGAAGAGAAAGTAAATAGGGATTTATCTACTCTCTCACACATCACAAGAACTTAGGAGTCACAAAATGAAACTAGTAAGCAGTAACTTTAACACAAACAAAAGTTAAGTTTTTATTCACACAGCATTTAATTGAAGTGCGGACATCTCTGTCATGACAGCTTGCAGAAGGTAGCAGTTTAGCTAGAATCAAAAAGGGACTGGACAAATTCTTGGAGGAAAGAGGCATCAGTACCTGTCGAGCATGGGAGTGAGGGGCACGGCTTCCGAATCACAACTCCCTAGGCCTTCCATGCTGGAGACCAAAGAGCAGGGGGGAAAAAACCCTCCTCATCCCCAGTTCACTCTCCCTTTCTGCATCCGCTCTCTACCACGGGGATACTGGGCAAGGCGGACCCGTGGGCCGACCCGGTGAGCGGCCATTCTTACGTTCTTGTGCGCTGCCCATTTCTTCCCCATCCTGATGACACTTGTGAAGGACGAGGCCTCCCGCCTCACTTCCGGAGCGCCCAGAGGGGCCGGGGCCCCC